TGTTTATCAGTCGTCTAGGTCTCAAGCAACTGAGTTTCAGCTTGTTTATCAGGAGAAGATACAAGAAATGGAAAAGTTTGTGCTTGCTTCCATGTCAGAAGTGCGTGAAGAAGCTCGAAGAGCAGTTGCTGAGGTATACTAGCCTAAAGTAGAAGTCGTCTTTTCTAAAAAAAATTCTTTTGTTCATGTATTTTAGTTACATAATGAAATCGACAATTACAAAAAAGAGCATGAGGACCAAGCGGCAATGATTACGGAAGAGATGTCTTTATTTGAAAGCCAGGTGTCTGACAGATTGACTAAAGTCGAGAGCCAGCTGACCAATCGTCTGTCTGAGTTAGAGTCGAGGATCAAAGTTGCAAGCGAACGAATTCGAACGCTGAACACATCGAATTCGTTGAAATCGGCAAATGACTCTGCGAGAGAGATTTTCAACGAAATGAAAAGAAGACATGCGCTGAATCTGGCAAGCAGATCGCATGGTAGGACTGAGTTGGATCATGTGAGATTAGTAGGTAACCTGCTTTTATTCTAGGTGCGTCTGTAATATCACACTTGACCTCGAAAGCAACTTCATCCAGCTCCTTACTACTGAATCTGGTTGACTCGGTATTTCCACTGGAGACATACAACTTTGCAATTACAGTAAGCCCGTATCCATCTCCCCTAGCGTTCCTTATTATCAGTTATTTGGCTTTACTTTAAAGTGGCCCTTCAAAGTGGTAATCGCTAGTGTTTTTGCCGCTGGAAAAGATTATTCATATTCAGAAGATCTCAAAATCACAGATTCCCTTAATCTTTTGACGGTTAATGTCGTTTTTGTGACCCAGAATTAAGAGAAAAAAGCAAATGTAGAGATTTAAAAATCAATAAAAAGCAACAGAGAACCTTGTCTGTTGTTGATTGGTTTCTAAGTCTGTTTTTGATTGAAATTTCCTTTCATAGTCATTGAAGTATCTTCCCTGCACGTAACTGTGAAAATGCATGGACAATCATGTAGTATCACACGTGGTCTAGAAAATGTAATGTTGTTTTACCTAGGAGTTCGTGATCACCTTTCGTGAAAGCTAAATGAATGAAGAAAAACAATTATAATGACATATCAAGGAAAAGTGAACATCTCAGTCAATTTTGTGCTCACTTTTTGGGTTTTTCTGCGTTTCTAGTCTTGGTTTTGAAATCATATGTTCTTCTCTTTCTACCTTTTTCCACGCTATTTTAGGAGCGTACTCATATTGCTCC